ACAGGAGAAGAGACAGACATTGGAGATTCTAAGGAATACAGATAATTAATGGAGTTTTGTTTGAACCTCACTAGGAGTAATTTGGTTATAGCTGGAAGATAGGTGTGATCAAAGAAAGACTTATTGACGGGAGATGTCAAAGATTGCTTGGATGCTACTGAAGATAGTTGACAGTGAAGGACTAAAAATTGATGAAGCAGGATAGAAGGCACACTGTTGGTGAAAGACTTGAGAAAGGGATGGGTGCCAGTGGATAGGTTCAGACACTGGCTTTTACATAGGAGCTTGGGAAATTTTTTTGTAGTTCTCAGAAAATAAATTTTAACTTCCTTTGTTAAACATTAAGTATTTGTTTTTGATGGTTTATTGCTAGTATAGATATAGAAGTGATTATTTAATGTTGATCTTGTCCTCTGCTTTCTTGTCAAATATGTCTATTCCTAGTTTTATAGGGAATTCATCCAGATTTTCTGTAGAATACTGTCTGCAAATAGAGATAGTTTCACTCTTTCTGGATGCTTTTTATTGGATTTTCTTGTCTAATTTTCCTGACGAGAACTTTCAGTACAATGTTTAACAGAAGTGGTGACAGTGGATATATTTTTGTTCCTGATGCTAAAGAGAAAATCCAGAGTTTTTATCAAATACGATGTTACCTATTGGTTTTTCACAGTTGCTGGTTTTTGGCTAGAGGAAGTTCTGTTCCTAATTTGTTGCATGGTTTTTTCACAAAGGAGTGTTGCATTTTGTCAGATACTATTTCTGCATATGTTGACATGTTGGTGTTTATTATTTTTTTTGCCCTTAATTAATATGATATATGACATTGATATTTTGGTATATTGAATCAATTTTTCATTCATGGGATAAATCTCATTTGGTTGCCAAATTTGGTTGCTAGTATTTGGTTGAAGATTTAGGCATCTGAATTCATCAGGGGTTTTGGTCTGTCGTTCTTTTTTGTGATGTCTTTTGTCTAGTTTTGGCAATACTCATCTTACAGAGTGAGTTAGGAAGCATTCTCTCCTATGTCACTTTTTGGAATAATGTGAGGAATGGGTATTCAAGATTTTTTGTATAGCCAGTGAAGCCTCCTGGGCTTTTCTTTGTGAGAAATTAAAATTCTAATTCAGCTTTCTTAATTGTACAGGTCTATTTAAATTGTTTGTTATTAACTGAGGGTTGATGGGGGGTGGGAGGGAGGGGAGAGTGGGTGATGGGTATTGAGGAGGGCACCTTTTGGGATGAGCACTGGGTGTTGTATGGAAACCAATCTGACAATAAATTTCATATATTGAAAAAAAATTCTTATTGAATCTGTTTTTGTAGTTGATGTCTTTCTAGAAAACTGAAATTTCATCTGTTTTGCTGAAATATACTTGTTCATAGTTTTATATTTCTTCTGTAAGGTTGGTAGAATGTCATTGTTTGATTCCTGATTACACTAATTAGCATCTTCCCTCTCCCTTGGTTTGTCTAGCAAAAGATGTGTCAATCCTCTTTACCCTTTCAAAGAACTAACTTTGGATATTGATTTTTTTTTCTATTTTACTACTTTCTATTTCATTTTTTTCTGCCCTAGTCTCTATTTACTACTTATACTTGATTTAGTTTAAGTTTTTTTTTCCCGAAAAAACTTTAGAAGTGTTAAGTCTTCAGGTAGAACATTTTTGACTTGGGAATATCTCTTTATGTATAGACATACACTATAAACTTCCCTCTTTGGATTGCTTCTCCCGCATGCTCTGTTTCATACTGTATCTTTTCATCTCATTGTGTCTTCTGTTTTCCTAATTTCTTCTTGCATTCATTCTTAGTATGTTCACCTTCCACATTTTTGAAATTCTCACATTTAAAATTTATTGACAGATTTTTTTTTTGTTTTTTTGTTTTTTGAGGTATAATTGATGTACAACATAAGTTTCAGGGGTAAACGATAATGTTTCAAATTTGTTAACTTTATTTTGGTGATCATTTCGCAATGTAAACATCTGTCAGCACACATGGTTACAGAATCCTTAGGATTTTTAAGATTTCTCAGCAACTTGATGCTGTAGTCCATGCTGTACATTACACCTCTAGTTCTTATTTTGTCATTGGATATACCTTTTGACTGCCTTCACCTGTTTTGCCCTTCTGTACCCCCACTTGTGGCCACCACTAATCTTACGTGTCTTTGAGGCTTTTTTTTTTTTTTTTAGGTTATATGTGTAGGTGAGATTGGTCTTTTCATATGTATTGGTCTTTTTCCGACTTGCTTCGCTTAGCATATTGCTCTTGAGGGTCCATCCATGTTGTTAGAAATAGAAATTTCCTTTCCTTAAGGCTGAAAAATATTTTCTTGTGGATGTGTATACCACATTTCCTTTATCCAGTCATTGGTTGGTGGACCTTGAGATAATTTATCAGTTCTAGGTGGTGATGGTCTCCCTCCCATTTCCTCAGGGCTTATTGTTGCTGTTGTATGTGACTTTGCTGGTCTATTTCAGTGATGTTCCCCTCCCCCTCCCCGCATACCAGGTGAAGTCTCTGAAATCACTTCACAGAGGGTGCAATCTTGGGCATGGATATAGTCACCCTGGAATGACAGCGGGTTTTAGTAGGATTCTTTTTGTCTTTGTTTTGTAATCTCTTACTGTCTGTCTCTGATATCACACCCAACTGATAAAGTCTATTCATTGCCTGCAAATTGCTTTCTTTTTTCTTTTCTTCCTTATTTCTTCCTCTATTTCTTTGTCTTTCCTTCCCTCTTGACAATGCCTGAGTTATAAAATGTTCTACAGTGTGATTCAGTTACACTTTGCCTCCTCTGCAATGGTAGTTTTTGAGGCCAGTGTTGGAAGTTTGCTGTGATTTCATGCCAGCTGCTGTTACCTGGCTCTTTCCAAGGTGTCCCTGGTAAACTAGCTTGCCAACAGTTTAGCTTTTTGCTCTCTTGTAGCTACCACCCCAGTCTAAATAGCTTAGTGTGATGATAGTCTTTGTTTGTTTGTTTGTTTGTTTGTTTGTTTTTGAGAGTGCACTAAGGTTTAAATTTGCTCACAGTCAGTTCCATATAAGGTGAGTTCCCTTTTGGGAGAGATTGATAGCTCTGCTCTTAAAGCCTGTCTGTCCCATGAAAAATCCCTGTACTGCTACTTGAGTAGGGGGTGGGGGGCATGATGTCTTGTTTCTCTAAGTGAATCTTCTATTTCACAAGTAGGGTGGTGCATGGAGACATTCAAAGACTCTTGTTATTCTTCTGGTGTGAAAACTCTGCCCTAAGTGAGATTGGGGGTTAAGGGTATTCAGGGCCCAATATTCATTGTCTACCTACTGTGCCTGGGGTAGATAATCCATTCACAAGTTGTGGCTATGTGGTTGGAAGGGAGTCGGCAATCTCTTGTCAGCAGTTTCCTTAAATTAGCCTCTATGACCTGGGGCTGAATGGGATGGGAAGTTCTAACACTCTGCCTTCCTTCTGGGAGGTAGTGGGAGAGGGAGCCCCATCTTTTCATCCATACCACTCCGAGTGGAACTTCAGTCACACTAAGCTGGGTGGATTACTAAGGAAGAAATAGATCTTGCCTTGAGTACCAAAAGCTCTCCCTTTTTAGCAAGATTTAGTTGATTTTCTTAAAAAAAATGTTTCATTTGCTGCATGCCCTTCAAAGACTTTAAATGGTTGCAGTAAAATACTTTCACTACTTTGGCTGGAGAGAGAATCTGGTGAGGTCCTCTTGCTCACGCTTTGTGTTTCATGTTGTATATTAAATAGAATTTTTGCTTCATGGCCTGGTATAGAAGATTATTTGTCCATAGTTGGAACGTAAATAGAACTTTTCCTGTAAAAAGTTGTGTGTGTGCTCACACACGTGTATGTGTTTCTCTTGCCTTCTAACCTTTACTGACAGGTGTTGGGCTTGAGGACTTGGGTTTGCTCCTTACTGAACTTGCACCTACTTGGACATTACTGCCTTCCTGTCAGCCCTGGCAATGTGCTCATTTTTGCTTTATTCCAAGGTTCCAAATTTCTACTTAAGTCTCTGGGAATTGTGACAGTTTATAAACTGTCTACTTGGCTCACACATTAGCTTTTATTTTCAGCCAGTCTCTTGGATTTTATAAGCCAATTTACAGACTATTTATCTTGCACAAATACTAGTCTTCTCAAGTCCAAATTTGTTGGTGTATCAATTTGATGGCCTGCAGTATCTGTGTATTAGTCACGTGGAAGATAGGAACTTGCGGAGGAGGTTTGGTTAATGGCCTACCACAGGAACTATATTTTAAAGCAACTCCTCCAAAGCAGTTGTCTGGGAATGACTTTCAAGACTACGATGAAACACTTTTAAAGATAAAGGGGACAAATTGTCAGATATGAAGGTGTCTTTTTGTAATGTTTAAATGCATCTATAAATGAGTTTACAGTTTAATTAGAGCTATTGAAATCAATGGCTACTTTACATGAGGGTGCATTGCACTGAGACAGTTTGAAGGGAATTTTTTTTTTTTTTTTTACAGGAATTAGAGTATGGCATAAATTCATTGTTACTCAGGTTGAGTCTCATTTTGTCCTTCTTAGGAGATAGGTCTCTTTCCTTAATTATCGTGTTTAAGGTAAATCTTTTGAAAGCCCGCTGAGAAATAATGATGTGTCATCCTTCTCTAGTTTTTCCCCATTAATTCTTCTCCCTCTCTTGTTCATGGAACAGCCACTTGTATCTTACCATTCTGATCTAGTATAAGACTTACACGGCTAGTGATAAAAAACAAATATGAACTTACAATGGAAAAGAGTATCTTTACCTCTTACTTGGAACTGTAATATTAAGAAATAGATTTTTTGATGTGAAATACTGTTTTATTAACCAAATTAACACTTGTTCAAATATTTTCTTGAGGTTGCTTGTTAAAATTAGAAATAGAACCTCTCAAAAATAAGAGAGAAAAGTTGAGAGTTTGATTGAAATATGCTCTAGGTGAAACAAATGTTAATTGGATCTCTGTTTGTTTTTCAGGCAGCAGGAGCAATTCGACCTCTTGTATCTACTGTAATCAGTCCATCTGCTGATGGTTGCTTAGACCATTCACTAGAACGTGCCAGACACAGAGCAAGTGAAATGCCACAGGCTTTTCTATTTGATGTGATCTATGAAGCATATCAGCAGGTAAGAATCAGGGTTTCTGAAAACCGCTGTGTTGGGGGTCTGTAAGAATGCTTGTCTATTTGGAGATTTGCTGGAAGAACTTGGGTGATTCCGTGTATAGCTGGGCTCATGGTTAAAATGGACAACAGTGAAGTACGGACGATTCACAGCTGGGTCATATGAGAAACACATGCAGAGTCTGGAAGTATACATGTGTACTCTGAAGTTCTCACCTTCCCCTGAAGGGTCACACAGAGCACTCCCTTCCTCGCACCAGCAATGAAAATTTAGCAACATGTGTGTGATGGTTCTTCTCAGGGAAGACCATCAGAGACTTAGTGTCCAAGGTATTTATTGGGGTTGGTCATATAGGGATCCTCTGCCTTAGCATGTATAAAAATTCCAGATTCCCAGAAAGAAGGTAGCTGTCCAACCTCAACCATATTGTTTATGCAGATAGTCTGAGCACAGTGAGCCATACTTAGTGGTTAACTGTTCAGTGAGAATACTGCAAGAGCCAATTTCCCATATTGAGGTGGAAAAGTAAGGACAGCCGTTTTAGGCCTGTGTGATAAATTTCCTGCACAGCTATACTGATACCTTGAAAATTTCAATTAACAAAATAACTTGTTTTAGAATCTCACATAATTCATTCATGTTTAGATGATCCAGATTACCTTTTTGTTTTTCATGTTCTAAAAATGTTTTGGGACCCATATAAGTTTTACTGGCTTTTATTGCATATTGATGGATTAAATACTTACTGAATATTAGGTATTATGCTTGTGAGAAAATACCCCATGAAATAAGCTATAACTACAGTAACTCATTGCTTGACTGATGTTAAATAATCTATGAAGAGTAGTTTGAATAGATGGACTTTGAGGAATATGAGGTACTGGTAATAGGGTTATTGACACTTAAAACAGAAGAATGCCTCCTATTTCGGATAGAAGGTGATCACAAACACAATAAATTATGGCTCAATCTCCGTTGGTTAGTTTTAAAATGAGACGATGTAAATGAGAATCCATTTTAGTGATATAAACAGTACGCCATGGTTTGTATTATTTCCCTAAAATGAATTTGGAGTACAGGAATTTACCTATATTTGGCTGTTAATTTTTCCAGGGGTAAGCTGTTATAAATATTTATTCAAATACTCTTTTACATCCTAAATGTTGCAGAGCTAGACCACATCTGCCTTACCACCTGAAATTGTTGATCCTTAAACACTTAGAGCTATCACATGTCATTCTTCCTAGTATATTTTAGAAGATAAAATGAATATAATTTCATTTCCTCACATTAGACAAGGATTTTTTTCCCCCCAGTTTTTGCTGGAGAATTAAGTGCTAATGCACTGAGGTATTGGTTCTCATAGTGTGGTTCCCAGACAGAATCGGTATGCTTTGGAACTTGTCAGAATGCAAATTCAGGGGCTCCACCTCAGATCCACTTAATTACAAACTGTGGGAATGGGGCCCAGCAATTTGTGTCTCAACAAACAACTCTGCCATGTGATCCTAATACACTGAATTTTGGGAACCACCACCCTAAGGCATTCACACCATGTAATGAATCAGACGCTCTTCTGCGTTCTTGAGAGAATTCAGAAAATAGTAACATGACCATAATTACGTGTGTTCTGTTGTTCAGGTGAGGAATTTTGAATTACAGAATCAGTTTGAAGGTTTTGCTATAAGCTTTTGGTTTTTCCTCAATTTTTTTGGTTTAATTATTTATTTAATTAATTTTTTATAAGTACTTTTTATTTTTTATTTTATTATTTATTTTTTTAATATGAAATTTATTGTCCAATTGGTTTCCAGACAACACCCAGTGCTCCTCCCAACAGGTGCCCTCCTCAGTGCCCATCACCAACTTGCCCCTCCCTCCCACCCCCCTTTGTCAAGTTTTGATTAAAATCCAGCTAGTTAACATACAGTGTAATACTAGTTTGAGGAGTAGAATTTAGCGACTCATCATTAACACAACACCTGGTACTCATCACAAGTGCCCTCCTTTATACCCATCACTTATTTAAGACATCCTGTCCAAGTACCTTCCCTGCAGTAACCCTCAGTTTGTTCTGTTTCTTGGTTGGCCTCTTCCACCCCACCCCCTTGTTCATTTGTTTCATTTCTTAAATTTTGTATATGAGTGAAATTGTGGGATATTTGTCTTCTTCTGGCTGACCAAATTTCCTTAGCCTAATAATCTCTAGCTCCTTTCTTGTCATTGCAAAGGACACTGGCAAGGTTTCATTATTTTTCTGTGGCTGGGTAATACTCCATTGCATGTATGTATGTGTACGTATATGTACGTCTATCTACACGTACATACCACATGTTCTTTACCTGTTTGTCAGTCCATGGACATTTGGGCTCTTACCATAACTTGGCTATTGTTGATAATGTTGGGATAAACATCAGGGTAGGTGTATCCTTTCAAATTAGTATTTTGTGTATAATTTGGGTAAACGTGTAGCGGTGCAATTGCTGGATTGTAGGGTAGTTGTGTTTTTAACTTTTTTCAGGAACCTTCATACTTTTCTTCAGAATGGCTGCACCAGTTTGCATTCCCACCAGCACTGTAAGAGAATTGCCCTTCCTCCACATCCTTGCCAACATCTGTTGTTTTCTGTGTTGTTAATTGTAGCCATTCTGACTTGTGTGAGGTGATTTCTCATCGTAGTTTTGATTCATGTTTCCTTGACGATGTCGAGCATCTTTTCATGTATCTGTTAGCCATTGGGATTTCTTCTTTGGAGAAGTGTTTCTTCATGTTTTCTGCCCAGTTTTTAATTGGATTATTTGTTTTTTGGGTGTTGAGTTTGATAAGTTCTTAATAGATTTTGGATACTAACCCTTTATCAGATACGTGATTTGAACATACCTTCTCCCATTCATAGGTTACCTTTTAGTTTTGTTGATTCCTTCACTATGGGGAAGCTTTTTATTATGTTGTAGTCCCAACGTCCCTGTTGCATGTTTAGGTCTTTCATGTATTTTGAGTTTATTTTTTTTTGTGTGTCTGTGGTGTAAGAAAGTGGTCCAGTTTCATTCTTCTGCGTGTTGCTGTCCAGTTTTCCTAGTACCATTTGTTGAAGAGACTGTTTTTTCCACTGGGTATTCTTACCTGCTTTGCCAAAGATGAGTTGACCATATAGTTAGGGGTCCATTTCTGGGTTTTCTATTCTGTTCCAGTGATCTCTGTGTCTGTTTTTTGCCAGTACCATACTGTCTTGATCGCTTCTGCTTTGTAATCCAGTTTGAAGTTAGGAATTGTGATGCCTCCAACTTTGCTTTTCTGTTTCAAGATTACTTTGGCTATTTGGGGTCTTATGTGCTTCCATATGAATTTTAAGGTAGACTGTAGCTCTTTGAATAATGCTGGTGGTATTAAGATAGGAATATGTAGATTGCTTTGAGTAATGAAAACATTTTAACAATATTCTTTGAATGCATGGGCATGAACTGTTTTTCCATTTCTTTGTGTCCTCTTAAATTTATTTAATCAGTGTTTTATAGTTTTCAGAGTACAGATATTTTATCTCATTGGGTACGTTTGTTCCTACATATCTTATGGTATTAGGTGCATTTGTAAATGGGATCAGTTCCTTAATTTCTCCTTCTGCTTCATTATTGCTGTATGCAGCTGATTTCTGTAAATGGATTTTTGCATTCTGTGAGTCTACTGAATTCGTGTTTCACTTCTAGCATTCTTTTAGTGGTGTCCTTTAGGTTTTTTGTATAGAGTATCCTGTCATCTGCAGAGTGAATAACTTCTTCCTTTCTGATTGGGATGCATTGTCTGATGGCTGTGGCTATCACTTAGAGTACCATGTTAAATCATAATGGTAAGAGTGGATGTCCTTCTCTTGTTCCTGCCAGTAGAGGAAAAGCTCCCAGTTTTCCCCCATTGAGGATAATATTAGTTGTGGATCTTTCATACATGGCCTTTATGATGTTGAGGTATACTTCCTTTAACCCTACTTTGTTGAGGGTTTTTATCATGAATGGACATTGGACTTTGTCAAATGCTTTTTCTGCATCTACTGAGAGGATCATATGGTTGCTATCCTTTCTTTTACTAACGTAGTGTATTATGTTGATTGATTTGTGAATATTGAACCATGCTTGCAGCTGAGGCATAAATCCCACTTGTTTGTGGAGAATGTTTCTTTGAACGTACTATTGGATTCAATTTGCTAGTATTTTATTGAGAATTTTTACATCCATGTTCATCAGGGATATTGGCCTCTAGTTCTCTTTCTTAGTGTATTATTTGTCTGCTTTTGAAATCAGGGTAATGTTAGCCTCATAGAATGAGTTTGGAAGTTTTCCTTCCATTTCTATTTTTTGGAATAGTTTGGGAAGAATAGGTATAAACTCTTACTTAAATGTTGGGTAGAATTTGCTTAGGAAGCCATCGGGCCCTACACTTGTGCGTGTTGGGAGGTTTTTGATTACTGATTCAATTTCTTTGCTGGTTATCAGTCTGCAGAAGTTTTCTACTTCTTCTTGTTTCTGTTTTGGTATGGTATGTTTCTAGGAATATATGTCTTTCTTCTAGATTGTTCAATTTGTTGGCACATGATTTTTCAGACTATTTTCTCATAATGGATTATATTTCTGTTGTATTGGTTATTTCTCATGTCTCATTTGTGGTTTTATTTATTGGGGTCCTTTCTCTTTTTGGTAAGTCTGTCTAGGGGGTTATCAATTTTATTAATGTTTTCAAGTAGCTTCTGGTTTCATTGATACGTTCTTTTTTAAGTTTTTTTTTTTAAGTTTCTATATCATTTATTTCTGCTCTAATCTTTATTATTTCCCTTCTTCAGCAGCCTCTATTGCTGTATACTACCCTCTTAGGACTGCTTTTGCTGCATCCCAAAGGTTTTGGATTGTCATGTTTCCATTTTCATTTGTTTCTATATACTTTTTAAATTTCTTCTTTGATATCCTGGTTGACCCATTAATTCTTCAGTAGCATGTTGTTTAACCTCCGTGTTTTTG